TAACTCTTATAACTTACATTATCCCATTATTCTTATTCATGTTAGCCACATGGCTGAGGACCTTTTTCAGTGGGGCATGTCACATCTTTCTTCTTCTGTGTTTGGACAGGACTACAGAGGAAATTGGTTTCCTCCTTCCCAGAATTCTCCTGTTCTCATTGCCCACATCTGCTTCCTGTCTGGTCGTCCCGCCTATACTTCTTGCCTGGCTACTGGCCAATCAGCATTTATTTAAAACAATTGACAGAATATAAACAATTGTCTCCCACCACACATGTTTCTTGCTTGATATTATTTATGCTAGTTGTAATTTTAAAATTTTATACCTGATATTTGTTCTTATTGTATCTAATTTGTATTAGGCTTAGAACTCTCTTATTTAAAAAAAGGGGGAGGTCCTGTAGGAAATTCTACACCCAGTTGTATTTAAGTTACCCACCCACTTGTGTGTGGCCTCTTATACTATAAATTGTGATGTAAAATGTGTACACATTTCCTTTCTTTTTTGACTCCTGGATTTGGTTCCTGTTTCCCATTTGTGCCTAGGACTATAATCTGTGAGTCTACCCGTAAATAAATAACCCTTTATTATACTCAATTGCCTGTTATGGCAAGAAATAAAAAAGCTTCTTAAATCATAAAATAACTTGGTCTTAAGAATTACCTATTAATATAAGATATATATTTTGGGCCTCAGTAGAATGGCAAAATAGAGGACAAACTTTGGGGCACAGTGGCAAGTGTACTGACACAGGTTTGGATTCTCTTCCATGTAGCTTTTTCTCTCTGTCTAAACTCTCTTCCCAGTGTCACTGTTAAAGTTTTTCTGTTCTCTCCCTTGCAAGATCTCATTTCTCTGTTCCCTTGGGGTGTTTTAATTGCTATGTGTTAGCTATGCAAGTCCCTCTTTTAATCTCCTGGGTCTCTTGTAATTTTCTATGTCCATTGATTATAGAAAGAACAAGTAAGACACCTCTTTATGATCTCCCTAGTTTGCTGCCATGTAATAGAAAACTCTTTCTTTAAACCTTAGCTTTTGACATGATTTTTTTAATGAAATTCAGAGGCCTGTAACACACTTCCAATCAATAATTGATCAATTTCTGCATTACCTTGTGCTAGAGGACCTGGCAGACCCATATGGGATTGGATATGTGAATTTGTTGTTAAAAAGAAATCTGGAAATGGGGAATGGTGACAGATCTTAGGGCTATCAACAAGGTTATTCAACATATGGGCCCTCTACAATCTTTGTCAGTGATTGTGTCACAGGCAATTCATTGTCTAAAGGCCAGTTTTGCCAAGAATAAAACAAGCTCCAAGTGGAGTGTCCTTGGTTTATCAATTACTTTGTGTTCTTGTACAGCCTGAATGGCTGGTGTCCATCATCTATAATATCTTCTAATATTTCCCTCAGAAACATAAGTTTTTTGGGGGCTGCAGGAAGGTTAATCTGAATATAACATGGCTGCAATAGGTCATGACCCCACAAATTCACTGCAATATTGGCTATATATGGCCTTAGTATTCCTATTTTTCCTTCTTCCCCTATGCATTCAACCCATCTCTTGCTTTGTTTTACCCAAGATAGGGTTCCAATTCCCAGGAATCGAACATCTACCTCTTAAAGAGGCCAATTTGGATGCCAAGATTCTGGAGTAATGGTACTTACATCTGCACCTATGTCTAATAAACCTTCAATAAAAATACCATTTATATACACTATTAGCTTTGGTCTTTGATCTTTTATGGAAGTCTGCCAAAATATACCTTTCCTCTGTCCTACTAGAGCTTTTGACTGATCCTGCACATTTAACCCATCATTCAGAACAGTATTGCTTTTTACAGCAGGCATTGGATTTTTTAGTTTTCTTGGTGAGACACATTCTCCACTGTAACTGGGAATGCCTGGACCACATTCATCATGGAGGCTATCAAGAGGTCACCCTCCATGGTGTTTCCCAATGGTATTGGGTTGCCTTGTCTATCTTTCGTTGACTTACATTCATTTGTCCACTGTCGGGCTTGTCACATTTTCTACATACACCTGGAGGCCGAGTTCTCCTATTTCTGCCATTCCAAGATGAGGTATTATTCCTAGGAATCTCTTGTCTACAATACCTTCTCACATCTCCTATTCTACTACAAAAAATTGGTATTTTGATGTCTTCTCTTACCATTGGAAATTTCTTCTCCTACCCATGCTTCTGTACCATAATCAAGAGTCTCGACATTCATTGTATGCAAGACCCATTTATCAATGGGTGCTAATCTGATCTTTAAAGGCCCAAGGATCCATTTGCACTCAATGTTGGCATTCTCATAAGCCAAAGATTCAATTATTATATGTCTAGCTTCTGGGTCAGTTATCCCTATTTGTACAGCCCTAGTTAGTCTTTGCAAGAAGTCACTAAAAGTTTCTCTTTGAGCCTGTTTAACCCTAGGATATGATTCAACTCTCTTTCTTGATTCCTGAATGCTGTCCCAAGCCTTTAAAGCTGCTGTGCTACATAGAGACAAGGTTTGGTCATCATAAAGAGCTTTATCCTTAGGATCAGAGTAAGGTCCTTTGCCTAGAATTTGACCTAGGGAAATCTCAAGTCCATTTGCTTTCTCTTGTAGCTCTAAGATTCTTGCCTCCTCTTTAAAAAAGCACCTCCAAATTAATTGCTGTCCACTTTCTAGGACTGCTGAGATTAACTGAGCCTAATCTTGAGGCTTTGCTTTGTTATTGAAAGCCCAGATTTTGACCACCTTCCTAACAAAGGACAAATGTAGTCCATAAGCTACAATTGCTTGTTTAATTTCCTTTAGATCAGTCATATGTATGGGCTTCCATGTATATTCTTTGACAACCTTAGGGTACTTGGGGCCAGATACTTTTTCTGTTGTTATTACTTAAAAGACTGGCAGAACTCCGAGGAAGCTATCCCGGGGATTTTTACATACCGACAAGGTTAAATTTTGCCTTTGTACCTTTTGTTCTTGGTCATCAAATTCAATAATTTCCTCATTTTTTTTCAAATATGTTTACCATTTCCTTTTGTAATGTCTGGATTTCCAGTCCAGTGTTCTTCTCTAATTTCCTCATTGATAATTCCAAGTTATAATGTAACAGGAGTGGGCTGCTTGTCATTCTGGGTGCCCAGCTTTCTTATCTCTGAAATAATCACACTGAAACTGTATTCATTTAAACACTGCCTGGCCCATTTACTCTAACTTCTTATTGGCTAATTCTTACATCTTAATTTAACCCATTTCAATTAATCCGTGTACTGCCACATAATTGTGGCTTACCGACAAGATTCTAACTAGCATCCACCTCAGGCAGGAGATCCATGGTGCCTCTCACTCAGCCCTTCTTCCCAGCATTTAGTTCTGTCTACTCTGCCTATCTAAGTTCTGTAGGCCAAGGCAGTTTCTTTATTCATTATCCAATGGAAGCAACGCACAAACAGAAGGAACTCCTACACCAGAATGTTATCTTAGCCTTCTCTACATTGAGTCTCCTGGTAGATGGGATGCTTACTCCTCTCGGGCTAGGACTTTTGCTTGGTATTGTGGGGGAGGAGAGTCTTGTAATTATTCACAGGTCCTGAGGGGACTTCCCAAAAAAGATGTTTGATACCAGCCAAACTGCTGCATTCTGTGAGGGTGCTAGCCTGGGAGTCCCTTCTGGTCTGCATAAGTTGGTTCAGTAGTTTAAGGTGTTTGCTGCCAAATTACTCTAGCAAATGCAATTCAGTCCTTGAGACCCACATGGTGAAATGAGACAACTGAGTTTCACAAGCTCATGGTGGGTCTGCACACATGTGCATGTACACACATAATAAATGAAATGCAAACAAAGGTAATCTTTGCAAAGCCTCCTGCAAACACTGACCTCCCAGGCTCTTTGCTTATTTTTATTTTTCTGTGACTCTCCATGACATAAACCCTGTATTTGAACACTGGCACAGGTGAATTAGAAGTAAACTCTCAATCACATCTCAGGGCTTGCATGGTATGTTCATTTGGCTGAAAATTATTTAGGAAAAATTTGTTGGGGACTTACTTTGGTGTCTCAGCCGTTTTAACCTAACTCTCAGGAAAGACAGATCCTCAGAGATGGTCTTACATTGTTCCTGGAGGTGAAGATTGAAAAAGCCCAAACAACATTTTCTTCTAACCAGGCAGAGTAATTTTAAATACAAGAATAAAAGTGGATTCTGTGGCCAAATGTCTTCTTTCTTTCTTTCTTCCTTTCTTTCCTTTCCTTTCCTTTCTTTTTCTTTTTTTTTCAGTTTGCATCTTGTCCAAGGTTTATTCAACAGTCCTCTCACTCTACACAAGTACAAACGACCTTATCTAAAATACTACAAAGTCATAAAACTCAAAACAAAATTTATAGTACTGACTGTACAATAAAAGCAAAAAGAGGCAATGTATACACTGCCAAGGTTAACCTGCAACATCCCTGTGAATGGCAGGTGACATTGAGTGTGGTGGCAGGTTCCTTGAGGACCCTGTAGAACTGGCTCACCAATTTCAGAGAATAACAGAGACCTGGGGGCAGGGAAAGATAAAGGTGTTTAACCCTAGAAGTTGACGAGGACTCCAAAGGGGACATGGTCAGGCCTAACAGCACAGCAGCTTGGTCCCCTTTCCTCAGATGTGGTACAGCAACAGCAAGGGTACGGCCAGGTTGCCCAGGTCCTAGGTCATCTGTGGAAAATGGTGTGTTGCAATATGGAGGCTTGCTCGTCCCACCTGGCTCTGCTATAAACCAGACTCTCAAGAATGGGAAGGGTGAACTTTCTAGCCAGAAAACTACAGGGCACCTTTATGGGCACAGTCCTGAATCAACAGTACCTCTGCAGCCAGAATCCTGCAGAGGAAATATCTCAACTGCTGTCTTCAAAGCCCACCCAGTTAGGGGATCCTTCCCCACATACCCTCGTTGGCTAAAGAAAGGACAAAACTGAGTTGGGGGAACATAAGTTACAGAGGTACAGAATCAACGTCCCTGCTTATCGGGAGGAGTTAGAGCTGGAGCGGCTTCTATGGCGGCGGCTGCCGGGAGATCGAGACCTCCTACGTACAGGGGACCTGCGCCTTGGAGAGCTAGACCTCCTCCTCATCCGTGGGGGTGACCTGCGCCACATGGGAGGCGGTGGAAGCATTCTCCTGGGTGGGCTGAATCGCCGTGGGGGTGGCCGAGGCCAGGGTGTCAACATAGCAGTAGGAGTGATCTCTTGGCCATCAATTTGTCCTCCATCCATGTGTTTCAGCGCCTTCTCCGCTTCATCTGGATTCTCAAACTCTACATATGCGTAGCCTTTGGATAGATGAGGATGCATCCTTTCTACAGGCATGTCAATCATTTTAATTTTCCCATAAGTAGAAAATATTTCCATGATATGATCCTTGGTCACATTCCTGGTGAGCCTCCCAATGTGCACTTTGGTGGGCTTAGGTGAAGGGCTCCGCCTTTTCCTCTCTTTTTCATCTCTTTTAGGTGGTTTGGATTTGGAGCGGGATCGCCGCCTGTTGTCATGCCTGCGCCGGGAAGGGCTGGGGGAGCCGGAGGAGCTGCTAGAGCTGGAGCTCCGGGAAGTGCTGGAGCTCCCAGAGCGACTGGACGCAGAGGAGGAGCTAGAGCCACTGCTTGAACCTGTGCTGGTGCTGGAGCCCGAACTGGAAGTGGAGCTGGATCGAGACCTTGTGCTGCTGCTTCCACTTGAAGCACTGCATCTCTTCCGAGTCTTATCCCTGCCACGATCCTTCTCACTCGACTCTTTAGTGGCCCCTTTATCTTTAGAGCGATCCTTGGACTTCTCGTCAGAGCGGTCCTTGCGTTTGGTAGGAGAAGGAGCCCTAGTGCTGGACTTTTTATTATTTTCTTTGACTCCTAGCAAGCTCTTCTTTTTCACTCCTGATAAATCCATTCTTCCCTTCCGAGGTGTTCAAAGCAGCAAAGTTGGCCTCACTTATCTGAACTCTCACTTCTAACTCGAGTCTGAGAAACGATCCTTAATCGATTGCCATTTACGCCAAAGAGCAGCATCTTCCCGAGGCCGCCACCTCCTCCCGCTCTTCTCAGACCCTTCTGACGACGCAGCTCTGTCGTCAGAGTTGAGAAGCAGAAAGACGCTCCTTTCCTTTCTTTTATTTGGTACATATCATTTTGGTGTTTTGGTGCCAGGGATGGAGCCCATGACAACTTACAAGCTCTCACCAGCCCCTGGTGAATGTTTTGCATCAGGCATTCTACTACCTGCATGCAGGGGTCATGGGAATCAGCTCCTAATGCCTGCGGTTCAAATGCTGTGTTGGGAGGTTACGACTGTTGACTTGACACAACCCACAATCACTCTGAAAGAGTTTTAAAATATCTCTTTATTATCCATTGATGCAGGAAGACTCAGCCCACTGTGGGTGACACTGTTCCCTAGGCAGTGTGTCCTGAGCAGTGTGAGAGGAGGAAGCCAGCTGAGGGAAAGTAAGGATCCATGTGTTTTTCATGTTTCTGTTGGGACCATGGATGTGTCCCTCTGCTTTACGTTCCTGCCTTGACTTCCCTGCAATAACAGACTACAACCTGGGGTTGTGAGGCAATGAAACCCCTCTTCACTGAGCTTATTTTTGGCCAGGGATTGATCATAGTAACAGAGATGAATCTAAAACAGATGCACAGGGCATTACCCACACAGGATCTCAGACCCTTCTCACACCACCTTGTCCCTGGATGTCATCGCCAGTGCTACCCCTCTGTCCCAAACAGAGGTGAGTCCAGAGAGCTGTGACACCCTTCTTACATTCTGCTTCATGACATATCAGAGGGGAGAGCAGCCTCATTTCACTTGGTCACATAAAACAAGAAATAACCTCTGTGACTGGAAACCACTCATCTGAAACCAAGAACACTTTGTGGTCAAATTTGATTTCCTAAAGGATAAAAAAAATTAAATGTCTATGTCATTGAATGGTGTTTGGAATTGTCATTTTCCTGTACATTGATGAGGTTCTACAGGCTGATACTGTGCTTTGGGAGCAGGTACATGTATTTATGATTTGTTAATAATAATATTTATTTTTAATAAAAGTTTAATTATAAGCAGCACAATGCATGTGTGTGGTTCTAACTTAACAGCTTATCTGAAGTTATCCATATCTGTATGTATGGTCTAACTTCTGTTACCTTTTTTTCATTGACATTTGTGTTTGGAAGTTTTTTTCAACTTGACTTTGATTTTGTATGTTTAGAAATATATTGCTGAAGAGTCTTGCTTATGTTTGAAATATAAGAGGACTTCTTGTTTCAATCATGTTTTGGAAGCCACAGAACTCAACAGTTTAAAAAGCGTTCAGCCTAGGGTGAACAGTGTGCTCTTCTTGGTAATTATAAATGCAGACAGTAGGCAATCATCCTTTGGAATTGTTTTCTCTCTGGAATACTTTCTATTGTATAAGCCTAAGGAATTAACCTTATGAGTTGACTGGCTGTATCTCTGGCATCTTTGATAATTACTTGTTTTTGCGGTGCAGCTTGGATCCTTGATCTCTCACGTGTCACTTAAATGGAAATAAAGTGGATGAACCAGAAGTGTCTCCTTTTGACTCTAGCATGCTTGCCAGAAATCCCATGCTACAGCCCTGGAAATCTCTACAGCTGTGCTCCTCACTACTGATCTCCTCTGCCAGCCTCAGAAACCAAACTAAAGTTGTAATCAGCAGGGAGGGCCACAGAGCTTTGTACACAAGGGCACTGATGCCTGGAGATAGACAGTTCCTCCCTTCTAGAACATTCCCTCAGCACACAGCATGCTCGCCCTCTCTACACAGACTGTCTTCCAGACCACCCCATCTCAAGTTCTGCCTCCATTCTCTTTTTCTTGGTGCAAAAACCCTTTCAAAGAACAGCCTTCCCATTGTTATCTGTCTCCAGCTTGTTCTCCTTTTCCCCTTATATCCTGACCATCCTGGTGGAGGAACAGCACCCGCCCTCTGGTAACTGCTCCTACCACACGGGAAGGCAGAATCCAAACTGCTCCTTTTGTACTTCCCAAGGCTTATCATCTCTGCATTACTCTGCTTTATGACAGACACAGTGGTCTGCCCTGGATTATTAAGAAGTCAGAGGAGGTACAAGGAACATGGTTCGGTGAACACAGTGCTTGCTACATGAGCAGATCCCAAGATCCTATGTAAAGCTGGGAACAGAAGCATGTTATCCCAGCCTCCCTGCTGTGAGATGGGAGGTGGAGACTCCCTGGAAGCTTGCAGAACAAGTGACCTGGTACACAAAGTGGCAAATGCCTCAAATAAGATCAAAGGCTAGAATTGATGCCAAGGCTGCCCTTGATCTCCACAGGTATACTGTGACACATGGAAATGTACAGCACAGACACACAGATACACAGACACACAGACACACAGACACACAGACACACACACACACACACACACACACACACACACACAACTGTGATATAATGATTTCCTTTACATTGGAAGGCAACCTGGAGGAGCTAGTTTCCTTTTCGCCATGTGAGTTCTGGAAATCAAACTCAGGTTGTCAGGCTGGATGACTAGTACCTTTACTGGGTAAGCCATTTCGGCAGTGCAGGTAACTTTTTGTAGCCACAGATGACACTGATCAAATGAAGAAGCGCCAGTTATTGTCACAAAGTCTTATTGATGTGTGCTATACCTTGGTTCAGAGCTGTTTACAGTCCTAGAGAAAGGTTGTTCTACAATGTCTGTTTTAGGTTTGTCCATTATTCTGGTTCTGTGAACTTCTGTGAACCTGATAAAGCCTCCTCTTCATCCAGCATGTGCAGGTGGGGAGGGTGGGCCAGGCCAATCACAGCCAATCCCTCGTCGCAATGCTGTGTGCTCTCTCCCTGTTTGGATGAACTGTGGCTCTGCAGGCTTTGTCAATATAGACGGATCTTGAGCTCAGCAATTAGATCTCTTTCTGTGATGAGACCCAAGCCACCCTCAATTAGATAATATTTACATTAGTGCAGTGAACACCAGATATCTCTTAAATCATCAAGCCCATCCATAGAGTGGAACTCTCATGAACTTGAAGATGAATGCTAAAAAGAAATCTCACACTAGCTTAGAATTGAGTATAATAAAGGGTTATTTATTTAGGGGTAGACTCACAGATCACAGTCCACTGCGCCAACTGGAAACAGAAACCAAATCCAGGAGCCAGAAGAGAGAGGAAAAGTGTTTGCACTTTACATCACCACTTATAGTATAAGAGGCCATGCACAAGTGGGTGGGTAACTTCAAGACTACTGACTGTAGAATTTCCTAAAAGTTCTCCTCCTCCTGCTTAAATAAGAGAGTTCTAAGTCTAATACAAAATTATATACAATAAGAACAAATATCAAGTATAAAAACTAGAATTACAACCAGCACAATCAATATCAAATAAAAAACATGTGATAAATGTTTCAATAATTATCCTGTCCTAAGGAGTTTATCCTGTCCTAAGGAGTTTTAGTCTTGTATTATAAATTGGCCAAGTCATGAGAGGAAAGTAACTATTATTATCTAATCTTCAATCCCATCTAAGACTCGAGAAGGAAAATAATATTACTTGAGCAGGCAGGAAGTATAATCAAGCAACTTCCAAAATGTGCAACAAATGACAGAGACAACTGGCTTACTGGGCAATCACCCAAAGTCTCATTTGCAATGTTGGAGCAGTCAACTTTGGCTAAGGCCTAGAGTAAGTGACAGACCATTTTCAGAGGCAGGAAATTTTTCAAACCTGTCTTACCCTGTCTTGGCAAGGTTTGGCTGTCTTTTTTCTTGTATCATGCTTGTCCTGTCCAGACATCGTGTACTTTGTCAGTGGTTGAGTCATGGGCATTTCCTTGTCCAAAGGCCAATTTTGTCAAGAATAAAACAAGCTCCAAGTATAGTGTCTTTGGTGTTCATGCTGTAAGTAAAGAGGCTATTGAAACCTTGGACAGTAATGTTGTCTAACATATTACCCCTTTACATTGGCAACTTATGATATGTATTTAGGATATTCAATCTTAGCTGGATTAGGTGCTATATCCGTAACCTGCCAGTAGGTGTCGCAGGCCACCTATAAAACTAACCCAGCTGGGCCCAGTGATGCAGTTGGAGTCATGTGACTGGTTTGAATCTGATTTTAGTGTGAAATGCTAAAAGATATGCTTAGATAAAAAATAGTTATTAATACAAATCACAAACTATATGTACCGTGGTGGTCCCTGATCAGTCAGTAGCCGCAGGAGCACAGGGATAACAAGGTAACAGCAGACACCCAAGAAAGCCCAAATCCTGTCTGAATTTCCGCAGTGTGTGGTGGTGGGAGGACTGGAAGCTGCTCTTAGGTGAGTAATGAGATAATAGAAAGAACCGTGGCCGATCTGCAGCAAGAAAAACCACTGCTTTGCAAGAATTCTATATCCAAATGAACTGCTGGTTCCACGCATAGTCTGCGGATGACTGAGGGAGGGCCTCGCCAGGCCCACTCTGAGCTGGCGGTGGGTAGTAGAGCTGCAGGGTTCTACATTCATTGGGTGCCAGATGAAGGAGTAAGTCACAAAACAATCCCACACCAGTTTGGAATTATGATTAATAAAAAAGGTAATTTATTAAAGGGGAAAATGTACAGATCACTGTGCTAGACAACAGCCCTCTGAGCGTATAGGAACAGAGTCTAGCAGCCGGAAGTGTGAGCCGGAAGCAAGAGAGTGAGAGCAGGGCTACTGCTGCTTTGTAAAGCATCAAAGACCACGCCCAAGTGGGCGGGTATCTTAAAGACTGAAGGAGCAGATGTTACTCCATTGGGACACTTTAAGAACTAACCACACCCATCCCAGCCACTTTTGACCCTCCCCCCGCCGCCATCTTCTCTCTCTCTCTCTCTCTCTCTCTCTTTCTCTCTCTCTCTCTCTCTCTCTCTCTCTCGTGTGCGCGCGTATATATATGTGTGTGTGTGTGTGTGTGTGGGTGCGTGTGCGTGTATGTGTTTGTCTCATCTCGTGTGTACGTGTGTCTTTGTTCTCTCTCTGTTTTTCTCTTCTTTAAGCAATAAATATCTCCC